GTGTTAACTAAGTGTTAACTAAGTGTTAACTAACTGTTAACCAACATAAACAAACTAGCTCACATCAGGTGTTTTGGCTTCTCTTCTTCATTTTAAAGTTCTGGTTTTAACTTTTAAAACCCCCTCATATATCTCAGATTTGATCCAGTTCCACACACCATCTCACAGGTTGTTGGCGGTACCCCCCCCCAGTTTAAATCCTGAGGGGACCGGTGTTTCCCAGCAGCTGCACCTCAGCTCTGGATGTTCTGCCCTGATCTTTACACAGCTTTGATTCTGTTGATGCTTTTTAAAAACTTCTGAAAACTTTCTTTTACAAACAAGATTTTAGCTAAGTTTTGTTTGTTTTTACTACTTGTCCTTTTGTATGAATATAATGCTGTGGTGATGTTTTAATTTATTTTATTGTGTTTTATGTAAAATACTTTGTGATTTTATATCTAAGACAGGTGCTATATAAATAAACTTTACTTATTTAACCCTCAGAGTAAATGAAAGATGATTAATCAGCCTGTTTTTCAAACTGTTCAAAGTAAATTAACCATATGAAGCTGTGCTGCACCTCCTCCAGCTGGTTGAAGCGCTCTCTGACTGGAGCCTCCATCTCCTGCTGCACCTGGGCTCTGAGCAGCTCCAGACGATGGGGGGTCATCACCTGCTGCATCACAGACCAGTCAGTCGAAAATCCCAGCGTCTGCATCAGATGTGTCCAGAGTGAGTCTGACCTGCAGCCGCAGCTCCTCCACCTCTCTGGATTTGTCCAGCAGCTGTCCTCGCAGCTCCTCCAGCAGCTGCTGCTGCGTCTGCTGCTCCTCCTGCAGACGCTTCAGCTCCCTCTGCGCCCGCGACCACTCCTCCTGCAGGCTGCAGCCACATCCCGTCAGCAACACGTTTCCTGGGACCAGACGGAGTCTGAGTCCACCCTACCTGCTGTGGTGGGCCTTTAGGGTCTGGTAGTTCTTCTTGTGGTTCTCAGACGTGATCCTCTCGTCTATCAGCCTTTTCTGCAGCTCCATCTCGGCTCCGCCCAGTCCAGCGGACAGTCCCAGCATGGCTGCAGACCTCCCCAATCCTGGCTCCAAGTCCAAGACGAGCGGAGCCGACTGGTCGAGCGAGGTCGTCATGTCACCTGAGAAAACGTGGAAACAGAAGTAAATATTGTGGGAATTGAAGCTAAGCGCTTGTTTTGTCCGGGTCCAGAGCAGAAGCAGACAGAATAAAGTCTGCCTGCAGTCGGACTCAAAGTGGAGCTGAGAGAGAAATCTGCCCTGGCTTTGTTGTCAGTAACCAGAGCGACTCTGAGCCCCTCGCTGCAACCCCAGTCTGCAGAGACTCATTAACACCTCTCTCTCTCTCTGACACTTGGCTCTGCTCAGGACACTCAGCCAGTCTGAGCATCATTTCTGAGCCCGACTCTAATCACAGCCAGGAGCCCTTCAGAATAAAATAACACTTGATGCTAACTCTGCAACACCAACTGTTCAACAGCAGAGAAATGTTCGCAGCTTTTTAAAAGAGACAGATAAAAGCTCAAACTGATCACTTAAATCCTGACAGCAGCCTGATCAGACCAACAACTTCACACTGAATACAAACAGAACCAAACAGACACCAGAAGCAGAAATCATTTTACTTTCAGTCTCTGTTTCTGAAAGTAGTGAGCCTCATAAACATATTAGAGAAAYAATCCAAAAGAATATGATTAATAAACCTGCTTTATTGGAACAATCTGTTTGCTGATATAGGTTGGGGGGAAAAACATGATTATTGCCAAGATTCTTTTTGGTCTCAAATAAGGGCTTTTAAAATATTACACAGATGTTACCCTGTAAACTCAGTACTGCCTAAATATATTCCAAATATTGATCCTCTTTGTTCCTTTTGTCATCTTAAAAATTAAACATTAACCCATCTTTTCTGGGGCTGCACTATGAGTAAAATCTAGGGATGCACCGATATGAAAATTTCAGCCGATAACCGATATTTACAGATATTACACAAACACACAAATTTTATTATACATATACGCACAAATAGACCTGTTATAATAACAAATTTTACTGGACGATAAATTGTCTCAGAAATTATTGTAATAAACGATAATATTGTTGGAGATCAGTTTAAACTAATATAACGTTATAACAACACATGTTTATGGAAGTTTACATTAAAATTGACATTGTGTAAAAAGAAAAAACAACTGTCGGCAGCCCCAAGGCGTCACCAGCTGTATGAAGGTGTCAGAAAACTGAAGATGCTCCTCTGGGTAAACGCCTGTTCACAGGCTCTCATCCTAAAGAGGTTAGAGACCATCACCTGACAAATATCTGACAGAGTTCACTGCTCTTTATGCTAAGAAGTAAAAAAAAAAGAGGGAGACACAAAGAAAACAAACAAACAGGCAAATCAAAATTGTCTTCATTTTAATTTATCTTCCTAAATGTAATTTATCATACGATTAACTGGTTTATTGTGACAGGCCTAGGCACAAATACACTTGGGTCTTTTGTGATACTGTAAATAAACAACCAGACCTGACATGGCTCCCTTCCTYCTTCAGTTATTCCTGGCTACAGCATCAATATCACTATCATGATCAAACAGATGCTGCTCAACCAACCATCCTCTCCCAAAACAGAAACACAAAGATAAAAAGTGGGAAATCAATTTTACATATCAGACTGATACAGATATTCTAAAAAATGACCAATATCTGAAGATACTGATGTTAATACAGATATATTGTGCATCCCTAGTAAAAAAAAACCTTTTGGTGTGACCTTAATATGTTTTTTAACAGAACACTTGATATTTTAAACATGTTTTATTTGGTGTTTTAATATTAGATGTATTGGATAACACGTCATGAACTTCTCATTCTACATGCCAGYAAATTAGCAAAACACCAGCAGCCCAACCTCACTGTTTTCAGGACTGAGCTGCTATTTGGACTCATTGAAACTCTGCACTAAGTAACTCTGAAGCTAAAAAACTTAAAGCCTTATGTGAAGAATTTATTTTTTTAACCTTTTATTTTGTCTCCCGTCTATTTTTTCTTTGCCTCTCTCTCTCTCTCTCTCTCTCTCTCTCTCTCTCTCTCTCTCTCTCGAATATTACTGTTTGTGGTTGTGTTGATTTGTAAATAAAGATTTAACTAGTGCGCCTCGATGCTAACAGTTAGCCTCAGTCATTTACTTGCACTCATGGCTTCTGACAATTTATTAAGTACAGAAAAAATGTTAAAACTGTTAAACTTTCATTTAGACATCCTCCTGTGTTGTAACATAACCATAACTCATATATTTCCATTCAGCGCAGCAAGCCAAACATTTGTTTACAAGCACTGGTTAGCTCTAACAAGCTAGCTTCGACGTCATCCTGCTAATACGATGCTTCAAATAAACGTAATGCAAATTAACGTAAACTATTTTTTTCTTTACAAACACGAGCTGAAAGTTTACCAAACTTACCTCGTGTACTTTAACTCTGCTTTCAACATATATAAACTTGGATACAAGCGTTAGCTTGTTGCAGAACAACAGCACGTGTCCGTCACAAAAACAGCTCCGACCGGAAACAACTAACAAAGCTGCGAGGTACCACATTTTTATTTTTTATAATTTTTTTAACTCAACACAAAATAATGTAAACAATGTTAATAAAACAAGTGAATTAAAAACGTTTAGTTACTTTGATTAAAAAACGGCACAAGTTTGCTTATTTACATGAACCTGTAGGTTTCTGAATGCCCAAACCTTCGTCTCATCACATCTTCTCTTGTTTCCCTCAACTTTGTAACTGTTTTGCCGTCACATTTGGCAAACGAAACAGGAAAAGTTAGAGCTCCCCAAGCATTTTGTTTGTTTGTCTTTCACCACCCCCCGCCATGAGCTGGACCCCAACACAACTGAGTCTCAACCACCTGTGAAGCCTGAACAAACYCATACATTTCTAGAAGCTCCTTCCTGCAATTTCCTCTAGACTGTTTACTTTCAATGTCTGCCTTAAGTGCCTTTGTTCATTTTAGTTTAGTAATATTGCAGAAACAAACAAAAAAACTAATTTTTAAATTCAACCAGTTTAAGATAAAGTAAAATTTGATTATAAAATTGACTAAAATCTAAAAAACAAGTTTAACATTATGCTTTTAAAACCAGTTATTTATATATACATTACCTAAAATTCACATTTTTACCTAAATTCTTGAAATATGTAATTTGACATTTTAACAAATGGGAAAAAATATTCAAACAGATCTGTAGAAATGAAACAAACCTGATCCTTGTGTTGATTTGTTTTTATATTTATCTTTTCTCTAGGGTTAACCACACTTGTTGTCAGGTGATCTCTTCCCTGAACTTAATGGCTGCTGAACTCCTATTGGCTGGGAGAAAAGAGGGGCGGAGTCTCAACTATTTGAGCTGGGCTTTTAGAGCTGCAGTGATTCATTTCAGACGTACTAAATTAGTTTTTCTCTTACTTCAGCTCGATGTGTTTCTGTATTTTCACTGAAAGAAGTCAAAGCATGAAGTCAGATTATTTATTTATTTATTGAACAGTAAACATTTCTCTTTATCTACACGTTCCAGGACATCAGGTGCAGACACCATGTGGAGCTCCCTCTCTCTGGAGATGACGGATGATGTTTGTCTCCTCAGACGTGTCTTTGTGTTGCCTGAGAATAAAAAAACTAAATAAGTAGAGCACATGAGAGAAACCTGCAGCCRTATATGTAGGAAGCATCTTACCTGCAGCCTCCTCCTGGGCCGTGTCTTCAGACTCTGTCCAACAGTTCTCAGGCGGTCCTTCATGTGGTGGACCAGGAAGTGATCGGTGCAGCTCAAGTGTTCCAAAGAAACCTCAGAAGCTGTGAAAACAAAGCCCCACCTGGAGGACTCCAGGTCCAGGTGTGGTCTGGGACTCCCCCGTCTCTCGGCCCGGTTCAGGTGAATCTCCGCTCTCTGATGGCCACTTCCTCTCCTGAAGCCAACTTCCTGTAAAGCTGCGACAGCTCGTCGGGCCGCGGCGCCTTCGACTCCGGCGTGCCGGGGACGTCGAAGTCCGAGGAGGCCTGAGACGCCGGCAGCTCCTCGGGCTCTGATTGGACGGGGTGGTTCTGGGTCTCTGGGTGGAGGATCAGAGTGTCCTCGATGTTCTGAGAGGAGCGGTCCGACAGAGACGCGGACAGCGCCAGGCTGAAGGTCTCCTCGTTGTCAGGATGCTCYTCTTCATCACTGAACAGTTCTGGAGTCTGAGACCCCGTGGCTCTGGAGGGGGAGGCGGTCCTGACGGAGCAGCAGGACTGTGATTGGCTGTTCTGGCTGTCACTCAGCATCTCTGCTGAGAAGAAGTCCTCCCACTTAGGAGGCGCTTTGGTTCCCTTCGCTGCGTCTCCTTTTCCCTCCTCCTCCTCTTCATCATCATCATCCTCCTCTCCGTTGGACTCGGTGCAGTCGAAGTAGTTCTGTCCAACAGGCTGCGGGTCGGAGACCACCAGAGGGACCGACTCGTCCACAGGGGGCGCTGTGGTCTCAGGTGGGTTCTCTGAAGTCAAAGATTAAAAAAACTWCTGAAACTAAAATGTAAACAAATAAACAAACTTAAAACAATAAAATAAAACGGCACCACGTTCTGCTTCCTGGTTCAGGTACGCCTTCTTCCGGACCGGCACCAGATCCAGACCTTCAAACAGATCCTCGTCGCTCCCCGAGTCTGAAGACAGGAACAAAGAAAACTGAAGAATGACAAACGAGCCCAGAATTAACGTGAATTAAAGAAAAGAAACATTTTATTTTAAATTGAAATACTTTTAGAATTTCAAAGTAAAACACCAGATGAAGTTTGTTTCTGATTCAAGCTGCTGTTTCAACGTTTGGCCACCAGATGTCACTATACTGTCAAAATACTTTGTTTTATTTCTTTACAATCATTTAATAAAAACATTTTCTTTCAGGACGTGTTTTCGTTGCTGTGAAATAAAACCTATCACCACGTGTTACCGTTGGTGGGCGGCTGCATCCGGCTGCGCTTCAGGACCCCCAGAGGTTTATAAACGATGGCTGCTTCGTCAGGCTGCTTCCTGCACATCATCCTCAACCTGAGCAAAGAAAAAGCAGGTTTTTAACTCCAGCACAGAYGGTTTCATCCTCAACACCTGGACTCACATCTGTGTGACCTCCTGCAGCGTGCGGCCGATCGGGACCACGCTCGGGTAAATGTTGACGGGCTGAAGGTACGACAGGAAGTCTTTAATCTGAAARCAAAAAGCTTTCATCAGAGCGGGAACAGAATAAACTGCCTGTGACAGAGACTCTTATTTTGAAGGGTTCCTCTGCACTTTAAAGGCTGCGTTTTGTGACATTTTCCAGCTCTTCTTAATCTAAAATCTTCACAATAAAAYGATTAAAGGATCTTTTAAAAGTGACATAAAGCTGCTGACCTCAGAGAAGGAGGAGTGGAAGCTGAAACAGGCTCTGTAGGAACTGTTTCCTGTTCTAAAAAACAACAAAAACACAGCTTGAGCTTCGACTTTCTACAGTAAAGAAGAGTTCAAACTAAGAGCTCTAACTTGATTAAAACGTTGGTCTTCTTGCTTCTCTCTCCGAACCACATGGTGGACGGTTTGATGCTGATGATCCGAAGAGGCGTCCCGTCTGCGGCCGTGCAGCCACACGGCAGCCGGTTCCCCAGGAAAAACTCCTCGTCCTGCACAAACACCACCAACAGCTGGGTCAGCGGCRTCCTCTGAGGGTTTCAGAAACACCACTTCCTGTTTGAGGACGAACCTTGGGGTGTCGACAGGCGTGGATCTGAGTCCGGCGGTCCGTTGTGATGTAGCTCAGGATCTCTGGCATCTTTTTGAACATGACCAGACTGTTCACGTGGATCTGGAGTGAAAACAACCCAGAAAGTCGTGAGAACGCTGAGTCAGCGTTTCTGCTGCCATTTTCTGTTGTTGTTTTTTTTTCAGTTAAACTGCAGATTTTGTCCTGCTTTAGCCTCTAATATCTAAATGTTCGGCTCTTTCAGGAGATTGGTATTTCAATTTTTTTTTTATTTGCAAACATTTACCACATAAAATACACAAAAGTTATTTTTGAAAAAACCATCAGCAGACTGGCTCAAATTTTGCCTTCATGTGGTGCCTTTAGCTACTATTCAGCTACTTTCACTTTTTAGCTACTATTCTGTGACTCTTAGCTGAGCATTTAAACACTTCATCGTTTTATTATTTTTAGCCGTTAGCTTCCAAACTAACTTTTTGCAATTTTTATCTAGCATTTAGCCACTTGTAGCTTTTACCCAGCATTTTGATACAGTTTGCTAGCCTTTAGCTACTTGAAGATTTACCCAGCATTTTGATAGATAGCTAGCCTTTAGCTACTTGTAGCTTTTACCCATAATTTTGATAGTTAGCTAGCCTTTAGCTACTTATAGCTTTTTCCAAGCATTATGATAGTTAGCTAGCATTTAGCTACTTGTAGCTTTTACCCAGCATTTTGATATAGTTAGCTAGCCTTTAGCTACTTGTAGCTTTTACCCATAATTTTGATAAAGTTAGCTAGCCTTTAGCTACTTGTAGCTTTAATCCAGCATTTTGATAGTTAGCTAGCCTTTAGCTACTTGTAGCTTTAACACAGCATTTTGATAGTTAGCTAGCCTTTAGCTACTTATAGCTTTTACCCAGCATTTTGATANACACAGCATTTTGATAGTTAGCTAGCCTTTAGCTACTTATAGCTTTTACCCAGCATTTTGATACAGTTAGCTAGCCTTTAGCTACTTGTAGCTTTTACCCAGCATTTTGATACAGTTATCTAGCATTTTGCTACTTTTAGATTTTACCCAGCCTTTTTATAGTTAGTTAGCATTTTGCTACTTTTAGCTAGCCAGACTTGTTTTTTTATCTGAAATAACTGTTATGTAAAATAAAAACATCTGTTAATATAAAAAATAATAAAATTTGTGGTTTATTTGGTTACAATTTGAAAAAAACAACTTAATTAAAAGCAACTAAATAAACTTGTCATAAAGCTGTTTAATAAGGTTTTTATCACCTGATTTTAAATAGTTCTGAAGGCGTCACCTGAGTGTTAAACTCCTCCCCCAGGTTGGTGAACAGGTACTCATATCCGTACGCAGCCTTACAGTTCAGCCACACCACGTGATGAGGACTCTGACTGATCCAGTTCCCTGTGAGCTCTGAGATCCCTCTCAGACAGACCTCCTGCACATAACATGTTCCAGTTAGGGTTAAAGAACACTGAACCTGTGGACCTGTGGCTCCGCCCACACCAGCTTCAGGAAGTAAACAGGAGCAGTACCCGGCTGGGGATCTGGTAGAACCGCGGGTCGTAGAACGTGGAGTCCAGATAAACACTCTGGATGTTTTTCACCCTGAGAGACACGAAGCAGGAAACTGTGAGGAGCTGAAGTGAAGCTGAGGTTTCGGTGAGTCCAGACTCACCTGCTGCCAGAGTGCAGGTGCTCCATCCTGGACACGTCTCCCACAGCCAACCTGAAGTCACCTGTGTACAGGACGTTCCCGTGGCCACCCTCAAACAGGAACCTGCCAACATTTCCACACACACACGGTTCARCCGGGACCAACGAGAACCGAAGAGAGCGTTTCTGCCCTGGGTTTTGTCTTTCAGACCAAATACAAACATGTTTTTAATAGATCAACTTAATTATTTAAATATTCTTATTAAAACACATAAAACAAAAATCTACGAGTGTTTCTGTTTGGACTCACATGACCGAGCCGGGACAGTGACCTGCAGGAAGCAACGTCACCACGATCTCCTGTTTCTGTCACACAAACACAAAGTCAGGATTAAACCAGAGAAAATTATTTTCTGGTTAAAAAACAAACATAAAAACAGCGTCAACGGTAAAATAACCAATGAGTAGTTAAAATGAGCAAAATGTAATTATATATACAGGTGCTACAGGTGGATTAAAGTTGTTTATGAAGAAACAAACAAACCTCTCCAGAAGCTTCATCAACAAGTGAGATCTGAGTCGGGCTCTCCAGCTCCAGAGGAACCTGAAACACATTTTTATTTCTTTACATGCTCCAACCTGTTCAGATTAAAACAAAGATTAAAACTCACAATGTTTTCCTCCCAGAAGGCRTACTTCGGGTTGTTCAGCAGCAGCTCTTTGGTCACGAAGGAGCAGTAAAGTCTGACGGTTCGACTGCAGGAAACAGTTTATTATTAAATGTAAACCAGTCTGTTGGCAGGTTCATAAAATATTTAGAGTTATTTAAAAGCCTTTTCTTTTATTTTTACTGAAATTACTCCAAAATAATCTTGTTTTTCAGGATTTAGAGGTCATCAAAGGTTGACAATGACGAGAAAGTCCTGCATTATGTGAATTCCACTAAAAAATGCGGAGCCCCCGCAGAGAGTACGCAAAAATTTCACAACAATTTTCAAACCAAAGCAGAAAACAAACTAGAGTCACTCTGAGTGACTAAAACTCACCTGGTAATATACTTTACTTCGTATACACACTTCTAAACTACAACATATATTATTATTTAATAAATATTGTTGGTTTAAAGTATATATTTTCTAGGGCTGCAATGATACAGAAGATTCATGATTCGGTTCGGTACTTTAGTCTCACGGTTCGATATTTTTTCAACACAAAAGGTTTTAATTTCCATGCCCTTTTTAACTTGTAATTTATTAAAATTATGATAATTTTTTAACCTCAAAAGTACAGTTTTTAAATTAAATGTTGCTGAAACAGCAAGTTTCTCAGTGGATCTGHGCTCVAMARTGCAGCCTAGGTGGAGTAGTCGAACACAGATCCACTGATCCTYCAACACAGAGCAKCTTCAGAAGACAAGYTGATAAARTAAAWTTTAAAAATCTGTATTGTTCGATGCATAGTGTGCATTGAACGGTTTGATACGGATATTGATGCACCCCTAATATTTATTTATTCAGCATTTCTAATTACCGGTATGTAAATTAAAACCGTTCGTCTGAATGTTTGGGATATGAAGCGAAATTCTAGTGACAAGTTAAAAGCAGAGAGGACAGCATGAAAGACAGGAAGAGTTTTAGGCTCATCATCACCGATGGACCAGTGAGGGTGATGAGTTTAGGTACCTGAGGTCAACCATCCAAAGCAACAGAGAGGAGGAGACAGAGCAGTGGGACATTTTGTGACTGGGGGACAGCTGCAGGACAGAATGGGACGGTTTACAGGATGAGACTTGCTGAGACATTTGAGGAGGAGGAGGAGCTGGAGGGGCAGAGATGAAAAAGTTAATGGACTGGAAGAGAGTCCATCTGAGGGRCAGTTCAGGTTCGGGTGCATGCTGGGACAGTCACCCCTGAGGGGAGCAGAGCAAAGAAAGGAGAAAACAAAAATCTAGTTTTGACTCAATAAATCTATTTTGTAAAATAAGCTTAGATAATTTTTTGTTTTAAATTTCTGAATTATAATTTTTCAACTTTTAATTCACATAAATAACTTTTTAAAACTTTTGTTTGTGGATATCTATCCTTTTATTTTGTAATTCTGACATCTAAAATTCCGGTTTATCTGTAATCTAATTACAGGTTTTGACTTTTTAATGATGCAGATATTAAAACGAGCAGATTTAATCTTTAATAACATAATGTTTGTTTTACGGTAGAATAAATGGATGAGTTGTTAAAAAAAACAATAATACTTTAATTTGTTAAACCGGAAGCAGCTGCGGTCACCTGAACTGTAGTTTCCTCTTCAGCAGAGGTCCTTTCAGACCCTTCATGTGATCTGTTCAAATAAAAATACGAGTTGGAGAGCTTTAAAGACTCAATACAATAAGACTATATTAAAATAAATGCAAATTAAACCGGTTACCTTTGTGACAATGGGACAGGAAATAGGCCTGTGCGTGTAGGTTCTCCCTGTCGAACCGGTCCAGAGAAATAGTGGGATATTCCTTCATTCGTCCCGCGAACGAACTCATCTTTGAGCCGAACTTTTTTACCGACAAAACCTGAATTCAACGATCCTGTTTGCTGAAACGAGGTTTATGTTTTACGGCTTTGCTAGAGAACTACGTTTGTTTAGTCCGCCAAGTTTGTGTTTCTTCTTCTACGTTGTAATTCTGTCAATCAAGTGGCAGAGTGCTGACCCCGCCCCCTGCTGGTAGAGTCCGGTATGACACGCCCTCTCATTTTCCAGTGTTTGGGATGGTTTAAGGACTGGATTCTTCACTAAAGCAAAATCTTTAAAACACAGTTTGTAATTTGTGAAACTTTTATTGTCTTTGTGAAATTTTAGGRAATGCATAATTGTTGCCTGTTTTTGGTACATTAGAACTGGTCCAGTTTTAAAACTACAACACTTCAAACCTGGAAAAAATTAATTTATATTAAAAACAGAGTTTTAAAACATTGTCTGTGGTTTATGAAACCTTTATTGTATTTGTAAAAGTTATGGAACAATCTTAAATTTTTGCTTTTGTACCACATCAGAACTGGTCCAGGTTTAAAACAGATTACTTGTTCAAAACTAAAATAAAATATTGTTTAGTAAAAGSGCATTATTTATGACGGTTTGTGATTTGCAAAACCCTTACTAGTGCTTTTTATGTCGTACATGTTGATAAGTGAGAACAAGTTAATTTTCCTTGGCATATGTTTTATTAGTGTTATGAAATTGTGTAACAACTAAGTTTTGTTTTCGACAACACATTTCATGCGTCCTGATTTTCTTTCCTGGGATTAATCTCTTGGCTCGTCAGGCCCTCCTCATGTGACAAAGCCCCTCCACCTCACATGTCTGAGTGTATTCTGTCAAAAGAGCTTTAAGTTAGTWAAAACCTCATCAGAAAGACGTTTACCCAGCTGTAAACACTTCARTGTTTCACCTTTAAAATAAAAATCAAACAGCTCTGCTCCAGTCAGAACTTTACACAAAAATCTCCTTTTAAAAATATTTTATTTGTACCAATTATTTTATTTTACAACATAAAAGAAAATGTAAAGTAAATAAATACAGCTAAAATCTAAAATAAGTATTGATTTTTATGATAAAATCAGTGCGAACAAACAATGAATAATTTTCAAAAATAATAAGGCAGAAATATTGTTTTTAGAATTTTATTCATAATTTTCCATCTTTGTTTATAGTTTWGAATGAGCGGAGGTTGCGTTCACTGCAGCTCGGATATTATGGGACTAAACTTTTAACGAGGAAATCACGGGTTCAATTYCCGCTTGAGTCGCCCAATAACTCCTCTTGTTGCCGATTACACGTTTAATTCAGCTTCATTCTGCTGTTTATAAAACTGATGGGTATTTTTGAAGAAAAAAAAGCGTGACATCATCGGTTTCTGTCAGCTCGGTGACATTTACTGACCGCCACTGAAGAGCACACAGTCGGCTAAAAAAAACAAAACAACAACTCACCTTTAAGAGCTTGAACCGGAGCTCCCTGACTTTAATTCTGACCCGGCTCGTCTCGGTTCCACAGAAGATCCCGGTGGGGCCCCACACGGAACCCGTGAGGTGAGTAAACCCGACAGGAACCGGGCCTGTCACGGCTTGTTCGGTGCGTTTTTTTTTTTTTTAATATGTGTAAATATTTTCACTTTTTCGATGCGTTAGCTTAGCTTCGTTAGCATGCTAGCCGAGTTAGCCTGAACGAGTAAATCTCGGGCTTATTTTTTGATTTAACCGTTTTAATAAAGTTTATAGACTTTGCTGACAAACTAATGTATGTTTTCGACGCATTATAAATGTTGATTTTAAAATTTCACCTGTTAACTTAAAATACGTTAATAGAAAMTGTTTGAATAAACTTAATGTGTTTAAGCTGTAAAAGCTGCGTTTAAAGGTAAATATTTGATAAAATAATAGTAAAGTTTTGTACTTTTTAACCATTTCCTGGCAGTGTTGGACAGTAAACTATTAAGTTTTGTTTTTGTTTAAAATCTAATATTTATCTGAGGCTGAGACGTTTGATTTTAWATATTTTATTCACAAACTCCAGTTATTTTTGGTGTTTTTTCTTTAGTACATTTCGTCATCGTCTAAAAAAATCTCAGTCTCGCTAAACAGGATCCAGATCTTGTTTGCAGACGCGTTTTATCCACATTTTTTACATTTAAAAGTCAATAAACTTAATAAAATGTGAATTTTGTGAACTGTAAAACTGATCATAAGACTTTTAGCTATAAATGTTTTGTCTTTAGTAATAAAAAAGGAACAATTCTTGTAATTTGTTGAGAAAAAATGAGAAAAGACAAACTAAAATTTAACCAAATCTAAACAAAATTAATACACATATAATTAATTTTTGTAAAAAATTTGTTTTAAAGACATAAATCAGATTTTCTGCACTATAGAAAAACAAAAGCTGGACTAATGACTCATTAGTTTCATCACAGACAGAAGTGATGGAATGTGAAGTATTTTCTCCAACTTTCAGAGTTTTCCGCTCACCGTGAAGCAGATCTGTTTTTCTTTGAGTCGTCATCCAGCGGATCACGAGTTTGTGGAGGAATTCAGCTTTAAACCAGGTTTATTCCCGTTCATAACGAGCCTTTTTGTGTTTCTGTTCGTGGCTTTTATTTCTGCTGATGAAGCTCCTGGGGGGGTTGTTGCCTTCTCACCCAGAAAGGCAGAAAATGTTTCTGCAGGAAGTAAAACAGTGAGTTTCTCTTCACAGTTTTTGCTCTCAGAAGATCAGGTTTTCGTCTAAAATTGGAGTCCAGGTGTTCGGGCAGAAAAAAGGGATGTGAGCTGGACTTTGCTTTATATAACAATAAAACCACCGTATAAAAACAGGAAAAAATGGGAACTATTTTTGCTACGCWGCTTGAATGAAACTGCAGGTGTTTGTTTTTGCAGACAAACCTGAGAACTAAAGCAGCGACCCATCACTGATTTCTGTTTAAAATCACTTCATGTGTTCTATAACGGGTGGAAACGAAATAAAATAAAAACTTGTTCCTCCACAGCTGCTGGAAATCCAGTCCAGATTCTCAGAACTGATCCTATCAGGCTCTGATTTGAGCTTCCTCTTTCATCTACAGATTAAAAACGACCCTGAAGGAACTGCTGCGAAATCCGTTTTTATGTCTTGTTTAACTCTGGTTTGTTGTAACTGAGGAAAACCCATCTTTATCCATTAATAAAATCTATAAAACAGTTTAAAAACCTTTCATAGCAGCGTCAAAATTGTGCMGAGTCATTTCCATCCTGTAAAAGTTTCATTTCATGTAAAAACAAAAYCTAAAAGTTTTGATGTTTGAGGGAAGGAAATGCATTTTTGTTAAAGTGAATTATTTGTCAGTAAATGTAGCAATGAATGAAATAAAGTAAAATATCTGAATGAAGTGAACATACTTTGTTTTTAACCTGTGAGTATTTTCAAACAAATACATCCAAACCCAAACGTCTCGTCTAACCACCTGTTTTCAGTAACTTCTGCAGCCAAACAGGAAAAAAAAAAGTTATTTTCCATCTGGCAGGTGAAGCGAAGCGTCTACCTGCTCGKCCCTCCGTGTTGTCCGCTCGTCTTCCCTCGCTGTGACGGCCCGAGGAGCGAGCATGCTGCGGCGGCCTGGCGGGTCCAGGAGGCGGAGCTGAGGGACCGTCTGCCGCCATGGAGGACTTCTCCACCCGGACGTACGGCACCAGCGGACTGGACAACCGGCCCCTGTTCGGGGAGACGTCCGCTCGGGTGGGGACCCGCAGGAAGTGGTGGCGCCARGCGGCTCGGGTGAAACTCTGTTTAACGAACTCGTCTCGTTTTCCCGCAGGATCGGATCATCAACGTGGCCGTGGGCGGGTTTACGTCTGTGGTGGTCCTGGTGAGTCGGTCCGCTTTCAAACCACAGATGAGACTTCCTGTCTGATTAAACTCAAGAAAAATACTTAATTTTTTTCTTCTTTTTTAAATTGTGGGACTTTTCTACTCAGAAAACCTGATAATTCTTCAAAATAAATCCATGATTCTGCTTTGGGAAATTCATAAAAACAAACAAAATATTTAAAGAGATGAACAAATTGTCAAACAGATATTTGTTTGTTTTCCAGGTGACTGTAATCGGATCRTTCGTGTTCTCGATGCCTCCGCGGCCGCTCAACATCTTCTTTGCCATCTGCATCCTGTTAGCGTGTGGATCCACTGTAGTGTTGGTAAAAACAAGAAAATACTCATTGTGTCACGCTTCACAACATTCGAACTATTGATCATTTTTTCCTGCCGTACGTTTTTCAGCATCTAACTCCTTCCACAATTTTTGTGCTTTTTCAACAATTCATACATCAAAACATTCAGCTCTTTTATGACAGTCCAGCTTTGACTTTTGATGTTTCAGCTGTTTATACTTTTCAGCTATTAAAAATGAATGGAGCCGTTTTCCACGTCCTTAAAATCCTTTAAAATGTTTCTAAATCTGTACAGAACCTTAAACGTTTTGTTCTGGTTCTGCTCTTTTTAACTTTCTTATGCTAATTATAGATACTTTTTTTTGCCAATTTTAGCTTTTTTACTGCTATAATTCTGCTAATTTAAACTTTATTTATGCTTCTTATGCTACGTTCACACTGAACGCGTTTTGAGCAGCAAAAAAGCGCACAACGCCTCCAGCTGGACGCACTAAGTTCAGACCAGGACACAGACCAGACGTGTGTCTGAAGAGGGAGAAGCGTCTTGGTTTTTTTCCAGTCTGTTCTCGGCCGATGAAATAAAGAAAATGGCTTTGATTTATTTACTAAAGAGCAAGCGAACGTTGCGTACAGCAGATAATTAATTCACCAGATGATTTAGAGGCGATTTATTTGGTTAGTTTCACCACTCAAGCTGTGAGCTGACGGACCTTTTTTTTCTGTCCTGAGCAGCTGACCCGCATCGGTACTGATATATCCTGCCAGGAACATCAACTGCAGACGGTCGATTTCAGCTAAAGATCTCCTGTCCGTCTGTTTCAGTTTAGTGGGCAACATTCAGGAAACGTGGAAAAATGAGTCTCTGGTTGTCAAGACGAGTCGAGCAGTGAAAGTTCAGATTTTTGAACTCTGGTGTCGGCTGCTTTCAACACACCTCATGCACACGCATTCTTTGCACGCCGCAGCAAACGTACATGACGCKCCGCACGACCCCTAAAGGCGCATCGACTGTAGACTTTGCATGTAAACTGGCTGCTCCTGCAGCTCAAAACACGTTCGGTGTGAATCCACCATTACAGTGGTTTTCTCTATATTCAGCTATTTTAGCTTTTAGCTACTATTTCAGATATATTTTTGCTCATTTTTTCTGCAAAGTTATGCTTTTTTTCCTCTTTCAGCTTTTTAAAATGAACTCACAATAACACTGTTGCCATCAAATATGTTCAGCTTGATTTCAGAAGCATTCACATTAGCATTTTCACAGGAAATTTCTCTAGTTTTATTTAACTTTACTGCATCTTGCTGCCAGGGAGCGACGGGCACAGTTAATTAGCTTATTACAAAATAAAATCCCCAAATTATCATCGAGCTTCTTTACTTTTTTTTTTTTTAATTTCAGCTTTTAACTGACTCTGCTGCAGAACTTAAATCTGTATCCCGTCTCTCCGCCCTCAGATCTTCTGGTACCGGCAGGGAGACCTGGAGCCAAAGTTCAGGAAKCTGATCTACTACATGCTGGCCACCATCGTGCTGCTCTGTCTCTGTGCCAACCTCTACTTCTTCGACGTCAGGTAAAGATGGAGGACGACGGGTCGGCTGACGCTGGCCGACGGCGGAAAAACGACACGACCAAAACAGTTGAACAGAGGAGGCTGGGACCAGAAACCGCAGACAGAAACCGTTTCCTGTTGGACGAATTATGCAAACRCACCACAGAATCGAGGTGTGGATGAAAAACGCTCATCCTGAAGGATCTGTGAGGACCAGAGATCAAACATGATCCTTTTCTTTRCACACGTTTCAACTCAAGTAGCCGATTTGTTTTATTTTAGACGTCTGCCAAAGAAGGAGTGATAAATATCCACTGTCAGAGCAGAGAGCAGCCACAGGGGGGCGCCAGAGAACTTTAGTCTGTTTCTAAAGAGAAAAACTGAAGGAGGTGGTTCCAAACTGTTAATAAACGAGCTGATGTTACACCAGATTCAGAACTATGAGACGGCACCAGAATCTGGGTCTCACCGGGCTGCCAGGGTTGTTGAAAGAGTCACAAAATGTTTTTGATTATCACAGTTTGGCTTCATAAATCCTCAAATCCATCTGACTCAAAACTAAAAGACGGGCAGCGTCACTACACCAGTGGTGTCCAACCCTGATCCTGGAGGACTGCCATCCTGCAGGTTTTAGTTTCCCTGCTCAGGTTGGTGGCCCACCAGGACCAGGACCAGGCACCACCGAAGCAGGAAAGCAGCAGTTCTTCCAGAAACTTGATTTGTTTTTGCAGACGAGCTCTCGCTGCCCGCTGACCGTSGATGACTTGAAGCCATAAATGAAGAATTAAACAGATTTTATACAGAAACCTGCCACTCTATTAAACTTTGCACTATTGATCCTGCTGCTGGTGAGATCTGAATCTTTTCYTGATTTTCACAGTTTGTCTTGTTTCTGCTCAAACTTTGCATTGATTTAAAAAAACAGCTTTATTTGTTCCTCCTGGATTCAGTCACACAGCTTTGTTTACATTCATTCTCATGTTTAACCTGATGAAATGACAGCTGAGGCTGATTTAGTGCTTTATTTTGAATTATTGATTAAATTATTTGTCATTTAAGAAGCTCACACCAGATGTTTAGCTCAGCTACCACAACACATCTGTTTGTAGATACCATAACCTGAGTTTCATGATATTTTGTTATATTTTTGTAGCACTCTCAGCTGCCTCACTAAACTTAAGGTTTGTAATACTGATTATGTTTTTTATGGTTTAACTGCGGCGGCCATCTTGTTTGAATCATGATATATTTTGCTAACAAAAGCATCCTTACAGCGTCAGTAAATGCCTTTTCTGTTCTGGACTCTGTAAAAAAGTTGTGACCAAATCTGAGAAACTTCTTTTATATTTTTCTGTTTTTCTGCTCGACGTCAACAAAGATCCAAACCGATGAGGAGGAGGATGATGCCTTCGTCACAAAGCTTTTAACAAACGCAGACATGAATGTGTGAAAACGGTTTGTGGAGCCAAGATGGAGATCAGGTGCAGAGAAATAAAATGAAAAGCAACACGAGGATGGACTCATTCATGTTTTTGTTGGTTTGTTAGTAAAGTAACTCACARATCAGCCGACATTTAATCAAAACTCTTAAAGAAATTCTTGTCTAAAACTGATTAGTCACATTCAAGATGGCTGCCACAGCAAACCAACCTCAGCGAACATGTAAAATCTGAATTTTACAGATTTTGAGCTCAAATTTGACAAAGCCTGTTTTAAATCCTGGCCTTCTTAGTCGAGTTGGGTTTTTATATTTTGAATAATTGTTACAGAATTTAAAGTTTTCCCTCGATTTTAAACTCAGGTCAAACTTTGCTTTGATTTTATAAACTAAAACATTTTAAAGGCTTGTTGAACCTGTTCGATCACAATGTTTTTATAATTGGGACTTCCTATTTTCATAATCTAAGGTAACAAAATGCAGAAGTTTGTTAAACTTTCTGATAAAATCATCTATGATTGGTTCAATTCTGTTAAATATCTCAGTTAATTATAAGAATTTAGTTCAAAGCTGCTTTAATGATCAAAAAAATATATATATTTTTAATAAATCAATCCAATCTGACTCCTGATTATAAATAAATAAATTCTACATGTTGAAGACATAATTATTGTTTAATTTAAAAGAAAACAGATTTAAATAGTTCATCTTGATTATTATTCCCACCCAGAAAAGCCCGTCCTCTTCACTGGTTCACATTTTAAATAAAGTCCAGCTGATCGGTTCTGTCCGGGTCTCATTCGGTCCAAACACTTGGTCCTGCCGCAGCGTTTCGATCCGAAGCTGTGCTCACATTTCATCCAGGGATTTACTGAAATCACTCCAGTTCACTCACAGTTTGCAGCGGGGACACGGCGCCGGGTCGGTCCGGTCCGGTTCAGTCAGAACCTTCCTGGTTCTCCAGGATGGGGTCTGAGGGCGGGACGTTCAGGGTTTTCAGTTCAGGGTCATGAACTCAGAGGTAGGGTTGTGTGTTTGTTACCTGTCAGAGTGCTGCTGATGTTGGGAGGAGACACGATGAGCACCGCGCTGCCCGGAGGTATCCCAGAATGCACCGCTGCACGTTGAGACGACGGGGAGGACGGACCCTGAGACGCACGTTTAAAAAAAACAGATCGAATGCAAACTGAAAAACAAACTTATTCAAACAAAAACTGCTCCAGTCATGCTTTTATTTTGAAAGTTTGAAAGCAGCAGATAATAAAGCGTCTGTGACGCCTATCCTTCAAATATAAAAAGTCAAAGAAAACATTTTTTCCTTAATAAAATTGGCATAATAAACACGATTTTACCAATTTTGTCACATAACTGGCATATTTTCTTTTGAATTTGTCTCTGCCAAAGTGAAACAGGAAGTGACATCAAAGGGGAACTCATTAATAAAATAAACTGGTTTTTGTTTATTAAAACAAAATTATTTGAACTTTAACTCTTCATCTCTCTTTGATAGAGACTCAGAATAATCTAAAGAAACAGATTCTTCCCCACAGTCTCTGTTTACATGCTGATATTCCCCTCTGACATCACTTCCTGTTTCTTCACATGCAAATATATCAACAACCGTTCATCTCAGCGACGYGAAATTTGTTTCGCAGCATGTTATTAATGTTATCTTTCCAAAAATGCCTTAATATTTATTACAAAAATCTAATGTCACAGACACTTTAAATCTTGGGATTTTAGATCAAAATAAACAAATTAAAGACTTGTTTCTACCTTGTCAGTGACCCTCTCCGTTACCGACTCCTGGGTTTCGGTGACGACCGTCGTCGATYCCTCCAGCAGGCTCATGGCGTCCAGCTGGTTGTCATGGCTCCGCCCCTCAGTCTCCATGACCAGCTGTGGCTCTGAGGAGGCGGGGTCAGAGGAGACGGTCTGGATGATGACACCGTCGCTGGAGCAGAGGGCGTCGGTCTGCCAAGGAAAAATAAATAATATTAAAAACAACAACAATAAAAACAACAACAGAGCGATGAGGAACTGACCGACAGGCTGTGGAGGATGATGTGCTCGTGTGATGAGGGGGAGGAGCCTGTCGTCAGGGTAACAGTGCTGTTATTTGCTAAGCTGAGAGGAAGGCTCTGGTTGGACGTCGTCTGGAGGAAGTAGGTCCCCGGGGTGCCGGTGGGCTGAAGGTGGAAGGACTGACAAACAAACAAATTAACAGACAACCAAACAGACAAACAAACAAACAGACATAAAAACAGACAGACAGACAAACAAACAGGCAAATAAAAACAGACAAACAAACAAACAGCTCATGAACTTGTGTGTTTGTGACTTCAGGTGTTCTCTGAGCTCAGACTCACAGGCAGGATCTCGAAGGTCTGCATGGCGCCGKTGTTCAGGGTGATGGTGTCTCCGTCTCCGGCCGCCACAGAATCTGAAGCTGTGGACAGAAACACGCCGAGCGTCAGCGAGACGGATCCTCGGGGTTTATGTGAGCGGAGGCCTTCGGGTCGAAGGAGTTTAAAATGCGCTCTCACCAAGGTGCGTGATTTGCAGCGGGATCTGTACGGGGATCTGCAGCGCTGCCACAGAGCCGGGGGCGGGGCTACCGCTGCCACCGCCGCTCTCGTCCAATCGAGTGAGTCGTATCTGCAGCGAGGAAGGGGAGGGACTCCCGGGTACAGATGTTGTCTGCGAGGACGTCATCAGCTCCTCCAGACCTTTTAGGAGGACTGTACACACACATACACACACACACACACACACACACACACACGCTTTATCAAACTTTCAAGAATTTTGTTTCCTGATGCTGCTTTTAGCTAGCATGTTGCTACTTTAGATTTGTGCTCATATTTGTTTATTTTTAGCTAGCATTTTTTGAAATACTTAGACTTTTTGGTTACATTTAACTACTTTTAGCTTAAAGCAGGTGTTTTGCTACTTTTAAGC